TGTTTCAAGCCAATGTGTCTGTCTATGCTACACTTAAAATAGAATTACTTTTGCTGACAAAATTTCACAAAACACTCTCTCATTCACAGCTGATGATCTCACATCAAATATTGAAAGATACCTGGAGGATATTGTGTTGTGTCTTAATATTGTGGGTTTGCACCATTAGTTATCCAGATTTTCTTGTGCTGCATTTGTATTTTCTAACCTATGTATCTTTTTACTTACAGGATATCTGTTAGTATAGTAACCACCTGAGTGTATGAGCTTTTGAACAGTTTCTCAAAGAAGGGAACTTAAATGAAGCATGACACTCTTACAGCTTTCTAAGCAGGCTTATGTACCTCTCTTGGCTTGGTCCAGTTAATTGCCATCTTTTATTGAGACTTGTGATTACACAGGAGGCTTAATCGCAAAATCATATTTTGTTAGATGCTGTGGATTAAAAAATCATCCCCCACAAACCAAACCAAAAGGGTAGTTTTCTGCAAAAGAGAAATTGAGTATCAAAGACAGGTACAGAGTTACAACCTGAAGTGATGCTTTTCTGTTTCTTGTTTTCCTTCTCACAGTTCTGTGTCTTACCATTTCTGTGCTTTAAATAATGACAATACTAGGATTTTTATCTGAGAGAACAAGGTGTGTGTGATGTACCATAGATGTGAATCAGCAGAGGGCACTACGTGCCTGTAAACCTGTGAATCTCTGAATTAACATGCAGAGTGATATGTTGGTGAAGTTAGCATCACTTACACCAATGTTCAGATGATTTAGCTGGGAGAATATCTGTGATTGTTCAGTGATGCAGAGAATGCACCCCACCATCTTGTTTCTTCCAATGAAAGCTGACTATATTTATAGGATGTTTATACCGCACTATAAAAAATGCATGGATCATTGACATCAGGGGCTTCAGTTCACCATTGTTGCATCCCACTCAGAAGCTACCTGGCTACATAATGCTTAGGGCACCATGAAGTTGTCTTGTACCTGTAAAAGCAGACTTTATCCTGAGATCCCACTGTGCATTGAGATACTGATGATGTTTCCTGGCATAGCTAGCCATTCACTTACAGTCGCCCTCACAGGAGGAGGTATGTGGCATCCAGTCCCTGTGCTCTCTAAAGTGCTGAGATTGATATTCAAGGGGCTACTAATATTAAGTTGCTGTGCTGTGAGGCTTTTTCTCCCTGTAAAAACCCACTTATTTCAGCTATTTGACCTGAGACAGAGCTCATATATGCAGATAGTTTATTTCTATATCACTTATATTGCATGGGTCCAGTGTAACTAAGCCAAATGTCACTTGATGTGAAGCAGATGGATGAGAAAAATCTATTGGGAATTGTAATACTTGTGACAAGCACTGGATTTCTCATTTCCCTGTTTGTTTGTTTCTGAGACAGCTGGGGTACAAGAGTTTCCTCCTCGTAGTTTCAGCTTCTTCACTATGCTTTAGCCCATGCTGCAGCAGCAGCCTTTGTAAGCATCAAGTGACCCATAAAACAGCAGGTAGACCTCCAACTGCTGACGTTGGTGTTCTGATTTTAGAGGCATCGCAAGTGGCATCATAAAACTGTTTCTAAAAAATATATGCCTATATTAAATCCCACTAAGCCCTAGAAAAAAAAAAAAAAAGAAAGAAATACTTCTGAGCATTATAGTACTGGTGTTGAAATATGCCAAATGATCAGAAGGGGGGGTTATAATAGCTGGTTTTATACTGCTCTAAGTATTTGAAAAGGAAATGTTTTGTGCATTTCAGGGCATACTTTTCATCTGCATCTTGTTTTTGTTTAGAGATGATACAGCACCAGGAGGGAAGGAGAATGCTGTTCTTCAGCATGTTCTTCAGTGATAGAAATAGGCAAATTTGCCTAAATATCACAAAGATGGTTGTGTTTGCAAAAGTGCAAATTCATCAGAAGTAGAGCTGAAATATTTCAGTTTGTTGGAAACTAAGAGCTATGTGTAGTCTTTGGTGCTGCTATTTTTGTTTCTTTGTAGAGCCTAGTCTTGCAGTTTCTTCTCAAAATTCTGATTGACAGCTGTTGGAGTTTTGTTTGTGTAGGAAATAAGGATCAGGCCTTAGGTAATGTCATAGGAGCTCTTCAAAGTAACTTTCACAGGAGACTCCCTAACTTTGATGGTTTTTTCCATTTTTCAAGGTTGAAGTTTTTTTCTTGTGCTTTAAGAGGCTTGTCACCCCAGATACCCACAAGAGGCATACCCAAGATTTCCCTTTCAGCAGTTCAAACACAGTGAAACAGGAGAATACTAAAACAAAGATATGTTTTGTGTGTCTCTTGTCAGTGCACTCATGAGGAAGCACCATGGGGAATTTGTGGGACGTGAGTTAACTCAGAGGGGATAACTCAGGATTGCCTCTGGCAGAAGCAGGAAGCTCAGAACAAAATCAGTAATTGGAATAACCCATTCTGATGCTGCCCCAGTTTTCTTGAGCACAGCAGTATGAATGTTTCATAAACCTAAATCTAGGAAATACCAGGTGCTTAAAAGCAAGCTGATATGCTCTGTCTTTGGAATACCTATGCAGTGTTTAAACTAGTGAAGGCTGTCTCCAGTGTCAAGAAGAATCATAGAATAGTTAGGGTTGGAAAGGACCTTAAGATCAAGTTCCAACCCCCCTGCCATGGGCAGGGACACCTCGCTCTAAACCATATCACCCAAGGCCTCATCCAACCTGGCCTTGAACACTGCCAGGGGTGGAGCATTCACAACCTCCCTGGGCAACCCATTCCAGTGCCTCACCACCCTAACAGGAAAGAATTTCCTCCTTATATCCAGTCTAAACTTCCCCTGTTTAAGTTTGAACCCATTACCCCTTGTTCTATCACTACAGTCCCTAATGAAGAGTCCATCCCCAGCATCCCTATATGCCCTCTTTCAGATACTGGAAGACTGCTATGAGGTCTCCACGCAGCCTTCTCTTCTCCAGGCTGAACAGTCCCAACTTTCTCAGCCTATCTTCATATGGGAGGTGCTCATGGTAAAACTTACTTCTTTCCACCATAATAGTTAGTTATGGATTTTAAATGTGCCCCCCAAAAGCTAAAAGTTAATTACCAACATAGTTCAGATGTTACTACCTGGGGTGGAAAAATATTGAGTCTGAGAGCTTTCACTCTTCTGTTATAGCCCTTTGGTAGCAGAGTATGAAGGTGTGCCACAGTTCAAATTAATTTCAGTTTAAGAGACTGCATATAATACCCAGACGTCCATGTTGGAACCAAATGCTTCTGATGAAACAAACTCATGCAGTTTATATACATCTACAGGGATGTTTTCTTGGTTGCAGCATTTTCATATAATTTGAAGTCTTCATATAATTTGAATTAGAAGTCTTCAAATTTATTACCCAGCATTTTTCAAGGTTGTATCTCACTTTATTATTTCTGGATCAAGTTTTAAATCTTTCAAGATGCTTTTGTTCCCCTTTTGCTGTCTCTTCTGGTGCTTGCAAACATCTGCAGATTTGAATAATGACCCTTCTTTCACATTATTAATAAAGAGGCTAAATCAAAGCTAGCCTGTTGCTTCTTTGTGTAAGTGGTCTTTGGACAGTTCTCCTCAACCGGACACAGTGTTGTTGTTACCTGGTTCTAAATATTAAATCATGGTGCAGTATTTCTTTTGAAGCCAGTGTAAATATTTTTTAGTGGTGAGTTGGTGTGGGACTGCATCAAATATTTATTAAAAGTTAGTGCTTCTACCAATGCTCATGCTGATGCAGTCCCCTCTTAAATACATAAGTTTTGAAAATCAGCTGTAGCAAACAATATGGCCTTTATTATTTATCTACTTTATGGAGTCCAGAATGGATTGTGAAAAAATGAGCAACCATGTAATGCTAATGAGCATTTCTTTCTGATTTTTTAAAGCTGTTATGCTGCCATACATATAGTGAGCCAAGGAAATTCCATGTAAATAAAATACCTCTATAAATTACCTGTTGTCTTCCACTCTTGGTTAAGCTAGACTTTCTGCATGTCTAATAGTGGAGATATGGGACGTTTGTATTGGCCACATTATCACTCTCAGGAATTTATGGCCGGGATGTTGGACTGGAAGAATGACCTTTTTAGTAGTAAATGCTATATTTTCTGTAGGGCTGGAGATTTTTATGTTAACCAAAACTATTTTTTTTCCAGAAGGTCTCTCAGATATTATTTTAGTGTATAATAAAGCTTGTCATAGCTGCTTTTGTCTGATTTTGAAAGGGGAAAATAATGAAGGAAAACGCTAAATACAGTTAACAGCAGTTTTTCAGGAACAGTTAGGACAAAAAAAGAAAAAAGTAACATGTTTCTGTTTTTCATTAGCAAACAGCCAATTTTTCACCTCAGTTGAGCTGTGTTGTTCCATCTCTTTATTTGGAGTTTTTTTGGCTTTTTTTGTTTTGTCTGAATTTACTGATTCCACTGAAGGGTGTTAGATTTATTTCCCAAAAATGCCCAATATAAAGCTTAAAAGATACAAAGCAGTATCAGTTCTGCACAGAAGTGACTGAATTCTATGATAATTCAATTAACTATAATTCAGTTTTCTGTCACACTTAAGTTGCACGTGCAGAATAACAGGATAACCAAACGTTTGAGATTGGATGGGACTTCTGGAGATCACCTTGTCTGCCCACCCTGCTCAAGCAGGGCCACCTAGAGCTAGCAGGTGGCTCAGGACCATGTTCAGGCTGCTTTTGAATATCTTTGAGAATGAAGACTCCAGAGTGTCCTGGGCAGCCTGTGCCAGTGCTTGGTCACCGTCACAGTTGAAAAGCAATTCCTGATATTCAGAAGGAACCTCCTGTGTTTCAGTTCCTCTTGTACAATCTGGAAGAAGCTGTTACATGTATTGATTAAATTTGTGCTTTTTTTTCCAGTGAACGCTTAACCATTTGGTGCGCTTCACACACACACAGAAGCCATGATTATGCTTGTATTTAGGTTTTATGATGTTTTTGTTTGGTTTTCATCTTGTAGGGTAAGTCCTACCCCTTTAAAGGTCCCTTCCCTCCTATGTGGAATCCATTGGCCTACCTGGACTACAACAACTTGTGGAGGACCATGGATGAAATGGGAAAGGAGGTATGGTATGAGAAATTGCAGCTGACTATCTCATCTCAGATTTGCCTCCAGGAGGGGCAGACTGAAGATGGGATTGTAATGCAGATAGGCAAAGCTGCTCTAGTTTGAACAAACCTGGTGCTGGCAAGAGCAGCATCACACCATGTATTCTGGTACCCACTGATGTCCAGTGCATTTGTATAAGTGGCATCTTGGCAAGCTCTTCTTGAAGGTCATGTTGATGCATCTTACCTTCATATTTCTGAATATATGAGCATTAGGGTTTATGCATGTGACTTTTAGCACTTTGCCTGATGATTGCTTAAGTGGCATTTAAAGAAGCTTGTACAACTCAAGTGTATGCCCTTCTCCACCTTTAAGTTCAACTTCTGCATTTTAATTTGTTATCAGTGGTGTATGTTTTCTGTTGACTAAGCTACAGTACTTGGTAAGAGATTACTTGGTGTATGAGAGAGATATGAGATATTCCCCAGCACTGTACTTCGCCTTTCTAGGCAAAGGTCATAGCTCGTAAAGGTATTCTCTATTCTTCAATCTTTAAAAAAAAAAAATAAATAAAATATATATATATATATATATGTCTTAAGCAATCAAACAACAGAAAACCTAAAAGCATCCTCTGTTGTTTGCTGTGTTACCAACAGGAATTTACAAGATGAATTACCACATAAAGATGAGATTTTCTATGTTTGTTGTCTTTCTCATACCACTCATTCATTTGCTGATAAACACTCTTTTATGCCTCCTTAGATTCCCAGTGAAGCCCCATGGAAGGCTCCACATGCAGAAGAATGGGACAAAATGACTATGCAAGATTTCATAAATAAAATTTGCTGGACAAGGTAAGAAACTGTGAAATATAATAGCTTATATTTATATACTTTACAGCTCCAAATAAACATCACTGCTTTGCAAACAGATATAACTACCACTAGAATACAGCTATTGTAAAGAAATCAGGTGAGAAAATCTTGTAATAACAGACCACACCACCTGTCAGCACACACAGTAGATTCTATTTCCATAACTTTTTAGACTAAAATAAAGATAAAAGGGAAATGTATTTGGGGCGGATTACTTCTGAAGAGATGGGTAGTATCTTCATTTGTTATGTGTACTTTCCCTCTCCTTGCTGCGTGTTTAAGAGAAAAAATGCCCTGTCTACAGGAGGTTTTGAATCAAACTTTTGATGGAACAACACACTTTTATTTTGTGCTGGATCACCTGATCTTATCAAAGTACTATAAAAAATAACACTTGTCTTGAAATAGCACTAAATCACTCTAACACCCATCATTCATTCTATTGTTTAACTGCTGCACTATATACTACCCAGGGAAACTTAAAATGCTTTGTGTTTTTATGTATACATCAAAGCAATTTTTCTTAGTTGCCACTCAACAACAGCTTGATTGGTTTTCTTTGCACCGAAGAAAAAACAAATCTATTGATTCTGCCTTGCTGTGGGGCAGATTGTTTCTTGCAGCCGCCTCTTCTGTATTGCTAAGCACCCAGCACAAGGCTGCTCCAAGCCTTCATGAGTTTGGTGCAGAAGGCTGCTAGCACCCACCCAAGCTGACACTGTCATTGACAGTGGCATTTTTTCATGGCTTCAGCCAGCCTCTAGAGAGCAACAAGATTATTGTTAATGGACAGAAGGCTCTTATCCAAAAACTTTAAAACTTCTGGTTGTTTTCCTTTGCGTTGACAATTGCATGAAAGGATATAGAAAGCTTTTCTTGTTTGTATCGCAGTTCATGTTCAGTAAAACCTAGTAGAAATGTCTGCTGGCAGTTCTGCTGGCCATCTGACCCTCTGATTTGACAAGGAACTATAAAAGTTAGCAAACTGCTGTGCATTGGGGTAGTCATTCAATATCCAGTAGCTCATGTGACTACAATCATGTTTTTCAAACTCTGATGGAATAAGACTTGACATTTTACCTGGATATTGGCATAACTGTCAGCCTCCCTCAATTCCAAGATGCTTTTCAGTTTTCATATGTGCATCTCAGCTTGATTTGCCCACTGTGTTCAAGATTTAGGTAACATGCCATAGAAGCTTCCCACCCTGGAAGGTAATGATCCAGAAGAGTAATATTCTGCTATTTACTCTCTGTCATCTAACAGACCATACAGATTTACTCTCAGCTACAGTTGCATGCTGGAAATACCTGAGTGCTCTTGGTTGAAATCATACTGCCATTTCTAGGTAGAATACCAGGGGAAACTGGGGAACTGCAATGCTGAAAAACAGAGGGAGAAGGTGACAGAAACTAAGAGAATTTAACTACCATCTAACAGCTTCTGCTTATGAAATTTTAATAAATACGTATATTAATTCTTGACTAATGTCAAGAATGAAACCAGAATGCACCCATATTTCAGAAAATGGATCATCCTTTTGCTTCAGTGGGACTTTGAATTTTAGGAAGAACAGAATATGCCTTTCTTCTATGTAGATCTACAGCTGTTTGACTTAGTATGTTTGAGCTATGCTTTTCACTTTTTCCCTTTTTTTGTCCAAGTTCAAAGGCTGAAAAGAGAGAGAAGCAACTAAAATTGGATCCTGTACTGGCTTGGGAAGTTACTGATTGCCTGATCCATTGCATATGAAATAACTATAGAATCTCAGTACCTGTCAATCACAATGCAGTTAAGCTGAGCATTTCCTGGTCCCCGCCATGTCCCTTTAAACTCCTCCTGAGAGTGAGGCAGAGGAAGTATCTACTTCTAGCAGGACGAATGTTTCCCTAAGCCTTAATTAACTCCTGCCTTGGTGCACCCCAAAATCTTGTGCAGGTTTATACAGTAATTTTCAGAAAAGCTGTTATGAAAGCACCAACTAGAGGACTTTTTTTGAGACTCAGGCCAGATTTCTCCTTCCATGTTCATTACCACTGGCTACCAGACCACTGTTTAAAATACTAAGTTGAGGAACCAAAAGTATCCCTTCCCTTTTTGTTGCCAAGACTTTTGCATGAATATGTATATACTGTTTCTTCACTATGGCTTTCTGTTTACATAACTTTCCTTATTGTGTTCCAACTGCATCACCCTCCCTGAGCATAGCAGAGGAGCAGGCAGTAGGGGGATGCTGACTAATGTCAGATGTTTAGATAATTAGCTAAGACAATATCCCTAACTTTTTTATGACAAGTGTTGGATAACATCCATGCTGTTATGTTTGAGGGACAGGAATGGAGCAGGTGCAAACAGAGCTGCAGATTCTGTATGTAACCAGGAAGAGTGGGAAGACATGGTAGTTTTACAGTCCAGTGAAGGCAGGATGGCTTGCTTCCCTTAGTCCTGAATCTAGAATAAGAATCTAACTTTGCATTAGTAGCATAAACTGACATAAGATTTCATGGGCTTTTGTATCTCCTGGAGCCCAAATTTGGCTGCATTACAGCAGTGTTTGATTAATTACTTTTTTTCTTGCAGGGTTACTTGAAAAATATTGCATAAAAGGAATTGATATTTTCCTACTTCAACTGAAATTAAGGAGTCCTTTGCTCATAGTGGAAGAAGAGGTTGCCAAAGACAGTCTCTCTCGTACTCAAGAGCAGTCTTGTCACCCTTCTTGGGTTTTTAAATTAACATACTTTATTATCTTTGCTGTAGTGCTGCCAAGAATTTTGCAACTCTGTTTGTGAACGTGGATGTTACTTCTGAGCCCCATGAGGTCTCTGCCCTCTGGTTTTTGTGGTATGTGAAGCAGTGTGGGGGGACAACAAGGATATTCTCAACAACCAATGGAGGACAGGTACTATTGCCCATCACCTTCTGCGACTCATGACAGGCCCTGTTTTAGCTTCATTCTTCTGCTTGAATATTTTAATTCAGAGGGCCAACTGAGAAATCCATGTTTGTGAGCCAGTAGCACACTGATAACTAGTTCTATTAATTAGCACGTTAATCTGGATCTTGCAGAACTAGTGTTGAAGGCTGTTCCTGTGCTAACTTCTGGTCCAAGGATCAGTCGGTTTATACCTGTTCCTGACACTGGCTTCCTTTTGGGCTCTGGTTACGACACACGCTTTGATTATCCATGTTGAAAAATGGAAGTTTTACTTATTCTTATTTCTGTCACAAGGCTGAAGCAAGCCTTACCACTTCAGAAGCACTTAATGGAGATGGCAGTGCTAGCTGGATGAATGTGGAGAGCACTCCAAATTAATATTGAAAATGTAGCCCAGAGCTGGGTTCCTAAAGATACAAGCTTACAAGGATTCAAACTGTTAAGATTTAGAATTAGTCTGAGGAGAAATGAGCACCCCTTCTTAAATATGATATTGCTCTGAAATTTTTGAAATCCAGTGTATTAATGCTGCTTCTGCATTCTAAGAAAGTAAAGACGCTATTAATGGTCTTCTTTGAAATGCAAATTTTGCTAATCATATGAAAAATTATATTTTTTGAAACACAAAGAGTTTAATCATTAATAAATAAAATACAAATACATTAGAACATTATAAAATACATAAGTATGCATAAATAGGCAAGAATTATAGATAATTTAACTGTAAATGCATCAAATAAAATATTATTTGTTTTAAGTTAAAGGTGATTTGAGTTTAAATTGGGTTAGATTATATACCGCAGGAGACATTTTGATGTGAGCTACATCACTTCTTATGCCTTGTTATTTATTATGACGATTGGGATTCCTGCTTCTGATACACAGACCTTTACAGGGATAAGACTGAACTCAAAGGTTTAAAAGTTTAAGCACTTTTCAGTAGTCTTCCTGATTCACACAGGTCTGTGAAATCCATTTGAAGACCACATGTTAAGGGGTTTTCTCATGAGATTACTACTAGTTTTGGCTGGTGGTCAAATATGGGAAGGATTTGAGTAGCTCACTGAGATATCCACTGATGTTGATAAGTTTTCCAGATGAAATTCTGCCAGATTTCCCAGAAATGTTTTGATAACAACAGAATGGAGTTTGTCTTGAGCACCAAGCAAAATGTTTGTATTGCTACACTTCACAAGCACTGCTCTGCCAAGTTCACTTTGCCAAGTTATTTTCTGTGTTTCAGGAGAGGAAGTTTATTGGAGGCACTAGCCAGATCAGTGAGAAAATAATGGAGCGCCTAGGAGGCCGGGTGAGGCTGAGGAAGCCAGTCATCCGCATTGACCAATCGGGTGAAAGTGTTGTAGTGGAAACCTTAGATCGTGAATTATATGAGGTAATGAAATCTGTAACATTTAAGTAACTGTTTGTGCTGGGATGGCTAGAAAACCTTTGTCTTTTCCTTTCTGACTTCTCAAAAATCCTGTACAACATAGCAGAGATGTGACTGTGACAGAAAGTAGCACTTTCTGATTGCCCTAAGGTAAGACCAGCGATAAAGCATTAAAATGATGCCTGAAAATCAAAGTGTATATTCAAACTCATCCTTTGCTAACATCCCTTCTTTGTGTTCAGTTACCTTCCAAAATAAAGGATAATTGTAAAGTGAACACAGAAAAGTAGCTTAGTAATAAACTGTCTGTGCTTGCTTATCAATACAGTGTCTTCTGTGAAAGGCATTGAAGGTGTTGCTTCCAAGTTGTACCAGAACACTCCAGATGGAAGGGAGACCAATGGACTCTTACAACACAGTGCTTTTTTTAAGTGCTGGGGAAAGAGCAGTGCCCATCATTCAAACAAATGGATGCCTATATAATGCTTGTTATTTTAACAAGCAGGTTTTTGTGAGGGTTCAGTTTTGCAATTCTTATGCTAGATGCTAACATTACTTCAGAAGATACACCCTGCAGCCTCCCCAGATGTCTGCCAATCTCGTTAGAGCAATATACTTACAATAAAGTAGTGGAGAATGTATTTGGCTTATATATAATTTCTTTTCCAGGGCAAGTATGTGATCAGTGCCATTCCCCCAGCTCTTGGTTTGAAGATTCATTTCAACCCACCTTTGCCCCCAATGAGAAACCAGCTCATCAACCGAATCCCTATGGGCTCAGTCATCAAGTGTATTGTGTACTATAAGGAAACTTTCTGGAGGAAGAAGGGTATTACATTTTAATTAAAAGGAGTAGTAGTGACAGAGAGAGGGAAGAGGGTACATGGTAATGGAGTAGATTTTGTGTTTAGAGGATGCTGGAACTTAGAAGGGGGCTTCATACACTTCTGTGCCATTTTTGCCTTCCCCTGTTTGAGAAACTTGAGAGATTGCTTGGGAAAAGAGGGGGACAGGAAAATAAAAAGAAGGAGGTAGGCATGGAGGAATAAGTCATTCCTGTTGCTTATTGCCTTCATTGTTCTTTGTTGTCCTCTCCTTTTTCTTCAGTGGCACCTGGCTATGAGCCTCTCCCGCTTGTACAGTAATGTAAAGGTACAAGTGACGTGTGATGGAAAGGGGTTTTATCCCATCAGTTGTCAGCCTGCAAAAGTTCTGCCTTCTGGATGCACTGAGCAAGATTAATTGAAGGTGTCTTTGCACCTGCCATGAGCAGGGACACCTCCCACTAGATCAGGTTGTTCAAAGCCCCGTCCAGTCTGGCCTTGAATGTTTCCAGGGATGGGGCAGCCACAACTTCCCTGGGCAACCTGTGCCAGTGTCTCACCACCCTCACTGTAAATAAATTCTTCCTAATATGTAATCTAAACCTACCTTTTTGCAGTTTAAAGCCGTTCCCCCTTGTCCTATTACTACCTGCTCTTATAAAAAGTCTCTCTCCAGATTTCTTGTAGGCTCACTTTAGGTACTGGAAGGCTGCTCTGTGGTCTCCCAGAATCTTTTCTTCTCCAGGCTAAACAAGCCTCTCTCAGCCTGTCTTCATAGCATAGGTGCTCCAGCCATGGGATCATCTTCATGGCCCTCCTCTGGACTTGCTTGAACATGTCCATGTCCCTGTTGTGTTAGAGGCCTGAATGAGCTGAATGAAGTACTCCAGGTAGGGTCTCACAAGAGCACAGTAGAGGGGGAGATTCACTTCCTATGACCTGCTTGGCCATGCTGCTTGTAATGCAGCCCAGTGGTTGGCTGTCTTACACTTCAAGTGCACACTGCTGACTCATGTTGAGCTTCTCATCAACTAACACTCCCAAGTTCTTCTCCTCAGGGCTGCCACAATCCATTCTCCACCTGGCCTGTAGTTGGGATTGCCCTGACCCAGGTGCAAGACTTTGCACTTGACCTCATGAAGGTTTGCATTAGTCCACCTCTCAAGCCTGTCAAGGTCCCTTTGGATGGCATTCCTTCCCTCCAGAGTGTCGACCGTACCACACAGTTTCGTGTCATTGGCAAACTTGCTGAGGTGTACTCAGTCCCACTGTCCGTGTGGCTGACAAAGATGTGAAACAGTGCTATTCCCAGTACTGAGCCCTGAGGAACGTCACTTGTCAGTGATCTCCACTTGGGCATTGAGCCACTGACCACAACTCTGAGTGTGACCATCCAGCTTTATTTTTTATCCTGAATTCAACAATAAGGGATTCCTTTATTGACTTTCTGTTTTAAAGATTCTTGAAAAGGATTTGTTAATTGTCAGAACATCTCAGATCTAAACTTTCTCTTCTAGGTAGGAAAAAACACCTGTCTCATTCAAGCACTAGATCGGCTCTAGAAGACAAGGTTTAGATCTGGGATGTGTGCTAATCTTTGTCACTTAATGGGAGTCATGTTACTTTTTAAAAAAACTGTCTCTGTTCTCCTTTCTTTTCTCTTCATATCTCCCTGTATTACAACCAGAGAATGATAGAGATTAATCTAGTTTCATGCCTTGCTCAAAGCACAGTGAATTAGAGCAGGTTGTTTAGGGCTTTTTCTAGCCAGTTTTGAGTATTTCACAATTTCTTGAAAGCTCATTTGTGTGTCTGGATACATGGATCCTAACTTTTTTTTCACCTTGTGCTTAACAGGCTATTGTGGTACCATGATCATTGAAGATGAGGATGCTGCAATTGGTTTAACACTTGATGATACTAAGCCTGATGGCAGCTTTCCTGCCATAATAGGGTAAACGATAAAGAAAGTGTATAGTTTTTTCTGTTTATTTGGTGGGGTTTTTTCATTTGTTATGTATTGTTTTTTTATTGTTATTTGGTTGGTTGTTGGTTTTGTGTGTTTTTTTTTTGTTTTGCCTTAGAGGCAACAATTGAAATAGGAAACTGCTGCTTTTGAAGGGAAATACTTCAAAATAGTTGAAGGGTTTAGTTTCTGAAGGCTGGTGAATATGTTATATGATTTTTTTTTCTTTCAAATAATTTCTCTCTTATTTAATTGCTAATTGAAAAAAAAAAAACTTGCTTTTTCTCACTGTTATCTTTTGCCTTTTCATGTGGCAAAGTAAAAAAAATGGAGAAGAGGAAAGGAATGAGGGAAAAAAAAGGGTGATTGCAGAAATGTAAAGTTTGCTCCAAATATTTTGCTTTCCCCGAATTTTCCAGTTCTTTAAATGAAAGTTTGTTTTCTGGAACTATATTTTGTTTTATTTTATGTTTTATAACAGCCACAGGCTTCACCTGTTGTTGATATATGCCTGCCCCCACTGCTGTATAAAATTAAGTTTATTGGGAAGCAGCTCATACAGATATTCTAACCTGAATCCCAGGTGGTTCTTTCCACACTGAGTCCTACAAGCAGCAGGCAGAAATATAACATTATCCAAAATACCCATTTCCCCTCTCTGCAAAGAGTCCCAAAAGCTAATACTGTGAATCACAGCATCCCATCATAAGATATTGACATTTTAAATAATTCAGGGAATGTAACATAATGGAAGTAAATTTTTTGTGGTCTTCCTATAGCTTCATTCTTGCTCGGAAGTGTAGAAGACTGACAGGTCTCACAAAAGAAGAAAGGTGAGTACAAACGCTGGAGGTCTTTGTGGACTATGAGACCAAATGTTATAAATGATCAGAGAAGGAATAAAATGCCCCAGTTTGAAGGAAATTGTCTGTAACCTTTTGACAGTAGGCAAACATATCACTGAGCAAGAAGGTACCTTAGCTGGTTTTGGATTAAGTTCTGGTTCTCCCTTTTCAGCAGGGGTTCTCTCTTTATGTGACTCTAGCAAAAGAACAGTTCAAAGCTGCTGAATTTGAAAGCAGTGTGGATACTCTGCTGTTCTCATGGGAAAGTGTCCAGGGCCAGCCTCTTTCTACCCCAGTGCTACCTCTCTGGCTTTCTGCAAGTGCACTGATCTCTTGAAAGCTTATCAGAAGGGACATGTTTGGCCACTGTGCTTGTTTTCTTTTCTGATCACCCTTGAGAGTCCTTTCAGCATCTGTAATGTAGTGCAACCTAGGCTGCTATAGCTGCCATGAATGAGATCTCAGCATTGTGAAGGGGTCAAAAAGCTACCTCCATCTCTCCACCTTTAGTTTGGGAAAAAAATGCCCTTCAGATAGAGATGAAGGTCTTTTTTACTGTCTTCTTGAAACAAATATCTGCATACACTAGTGCTTTTTGGTTTATTACTGAAATGGAATTTACAAAGCAATGAGATTTTTCCATCACACTGATTCACAGTATCTGATGAAATTAAAGCTACAAATAGAAAGTGTGGATATGAGGAGAGCCTTATTTGGACATGGAAAAAATAAATTTGTTTCTAAAGCCACAAGGAATACCGTGTCCAAGTAAACATTATTACAGTAATGACTAGTCTAACTAGAGAAGATCTAGCTTTGCAGGTAGTCTGGCAGCCTGTGGATAATGAGTCTAAAAGGGGCTGTTAATGTCCCAGTCTTTTCAAATGACAGCCTGGTACCACAGAGCATTTTTAATTTCGGCAGGAATGGACAAGGCAGCCTTTTCCTCAGCATTCAGGTTTTGAGACAGACCCCCAGCAGGTGACCAGTGACAAGAATAGTGTAGTAATCTGAAATTCAGTGTGCCCAGCATTTCAGGCCATCATAAACATCAAATGGTGTCTTACTGTGTGTGTCAATGCACCAGATGTAACCAAGCTTTTGCAGTATTTGAGAATGGCTTCTCTTTCTGTGAAATGAAGTGCTATCCTGACTGTTTGTGAAACATCATGAAGGAAAGGTTGCTTTTCTCTAGACATCAAAAGTATTAGCACAATTATCTGACTCTGCTGCTGCCTACAGCCAAATTTTAAACAAAAAGAGTTTAAACTCTTGTCTTTGGGGGAATAAACTTCAGACTAGGAAAGACTTTGCTTTGGTAAAGAATGGTTATAAAATATGCTTGGGTTGATACCTGATAGATGGTACCTTGGTGCAGGGGTACCTCTCTGATTCCTGCAGTCTTGGCCACAGCCAATCAAGTCAGGAACATTGTGGGCTGCACTGCAGCTCCTTTCCTGCACATGAGAAGAAGTCTCCTTCAGTGGTAAATCAGGGTCCAGGAGAAGGCATAACTTGAATCTGGACCTTCTCCCAGCATACATGCAGGGTGTAACCAGTTTGTATTGTTTATACTGGGACTACGGTGTTCAGAATGGAGGGATCTCTTCTGAGGACAGGCTTCTTGTGGCATGCTATAGAGGATACATCTTGCTGAGATGCTGTGCTCACCTATCAACACAAGTTGGGCTCTCCTTATATCACACTGATGACAGGGTAAGTTTTTTGAAATCCTTGGGTATGAAGAATAGGCTGTAGAGTTCATGGCAACTATCCTAAATAATGACTGAGAATGGCTGTTCTGGGAGGGGATGAATGTTTTAGAGCCTAAACCAGACTGAAAGGAGTAAAACTCACTGTTGCCTTCCAGCTGGTCTTCCCAGGCCAGGTGCCAATGAGTATTTTCAGTGGTTAGATTGTGCCCTACCTGTGCAACGAAGGTGGTGGCATCACACACTGCCATGGAATAAGAGACCAGGGAGAAGAACAGTGCATGTCCATTTCTTCCACACCAGGCACAGTGTAACTCTCAACAGGGTCTACCCAGGTAGCTCCAGGCATAACATCCTTCTTACTTGGTGCTGGTGGCAATTTCACAGTGGAGCCTGGAGCCAAGAAATAAGGATTTAACCTCTGTGTATTCCATGTGTTCCATGCTAGCATTAATCATAAATGCATAAATAAGTATATAAACTGTTCTAGGACAAATAGCACAGATGTTGCAGAGACACCAGCTCATCTGCAAGGATTCTTCTTGTTAGGGGGAATGTCCTCAGTGATAGATTAATGTTGGTACGAATGAAATAGATATGCTTTTCTGTATTGGTTTTTTTTTTCCTCTTTTTTTCTTATCTTTTTTTTATTATTGTTTTTCTGTTAAATAATACCTTATTGATGAATAATTTTTTTCAAGGTTGAAATTTCTTAAAAGTCTGAAGATGCCCTTGACCTGAAGCTTAATGTTTTCTTTTGCACTGTTATCTTTATGTGAGCAATGTACTTACCAAATAGTGGTGCATTTGCACCTTCTTGGAGTCCTGCAGTTGGCTGTACATGAGAATCCCTACCAGCCTCTGGTATGCCATTTCCAGGCTCCCTGGAAGGTCTGCAAGTCACGTGTGGAAAAAGGGCAGAGCACAGGCAGATCTAGAGGGATCCATCTCACACCTGTTGTGGTGCTGGGAGGAGAAGAAGCATATGGGTCCCAAGGTGATAACCCGCTTTCCTGCGGAGCCCTGTGGGGTTACAGACCTTCCTGAAAGCAGGAGCTGGTGGGCATATTGGAGAGGTGGTAGGCAGACCTCAGCAGAGGCTTTGCTAACTCATGCTATTAAAGTGGCTTTAGTCTGTTCAGACACTGCGTGGTCAGTGCTGGTAGTTTGCAGGGTGCGGTGGTCATCATTGAGAGATGGAGGAAATGTTCCCTTTTATGATGGCTGTTGCTGGATTCGTGTCACCCCTGACTGAAGAGGGATATTAATATATATACTCATATATAGAGATCGAATATATGTTCATATATATAGATCCTGCAACTCTTGGAGCCTGCCTGGCCAGTCACTGTGTCACCATGCATTTCTGCTTCTGGAGCAGGCTGACCCTTGTCATCTGCCTCTGAGCAGAAGGAAGGAGCTGCTTCCTTCCACTCTGCTGCTGCTGGGCTTGACATATGCCAGCAATAAAATCATCCCAGGGCCATGGCTCTTCCGGAATTATAGCAGCCTCTTCTTGCTCAAGCCCCTACCTGCACAGGAGGATCTTCAGGTCTTCCTGGTTTGGTTGGTTGGGGTTTTTTTTGACCCTCATCCCTTTTCTGTAGCACTCTTTTGAGTTCAGCTGCTCATTGGTGGGACTGGCCTCCTGTATTGCTGGGTTATTTCATACCGCAGTATAGATATGGCTTCCTCATATACTGATATAGCTGCAAATGTAGCTCATACAGTTACAGAGGTGAGACTGCTCTATTTCTCTGCCCAGCATGGCTATCTGTGGAGCAGAGGATTTGCTTCCAGAAGTAAACTTCTTTACAGCATTGTGTTTGTATGTTTGATTCTCGTAATTGTTAACTTTCATCTTTGTCTTCTCATGTTTGGTATTTGGTGCAGTGCAGTAAAACAGTAAGACCCAAAAGCTTGTAGGAGAAACTTTATTTCATTTGGGATTTGCTACAGAATGAAGTATATTTATGGATTTATAGACTCATAAACAAAAACAGCAGGAAATTTTCTACATACAGAAATAAAGTACTGATTCCCTGAAAGCCTCAGTCGATCAATACCTACATCTTTGTAGGAGCAGACCATACGTTAGACTATGTGCCAAGACAGGAAAGTGCAATGCCTTACTACTTCCTTTTCCTTACAGCCTGGAGGACCTTTGAATAATGATTGGATTTAAGGGAACAGCTTGCATTACATCTAATAAGCAGCAGAGGAGTTTGAGTGCGTTATTTCTAGTGATCCAAAGGCTTACCAATTAGGATAGATACCAAAAAGCTGGAAAATCAAGTTCAAGCAGATATTAATATTTGTCCTTTTGCAACTAGGATGTATTAGAAGTGGTTGGTTTTGTCTTTCCTCACACAGAAGTCTTCTGCTGCTTTTCTTTTGCAGGAAGACAAGGCTTTGTGAGCTCTATGCAAAGGTTCTGGGATCAGAGGAAGCTCTACATGTAAGTACAAAATCTAAACCACGGTGTCAGACTCCTCGAGGTAGGGGAGGGCAAAATAAACCTGAATACAGCAGTGCCCTTGAACAGTCCTATGTAGTGTTTTGGAAAAGATGTCTGCTATGGGAGTACTTGCTACACCATATAGAAGAATGGGGAGAAGGTTATGGCAAGCCTTGGGTTGCGTTCGATGAAGAGGGTAAGAATGAGCTTATGAAACAGTTAAAAGGCAGGTATGTTCTTGTCCAGCTTCATTAGTGTCATTCATAGTGCTTACCATACATCTCAACAGTTTTCAGATGTGACAGGCTTGCCTTTCCCTCAGTCTATGTTGAGCATGTTTCTTCTCTCTTACTAGTTGCTAAGATCTATTCCTGTGTATGGTGTTTGGTTTTTGTGTTGGCTTTTTTTGGTTGGGTGGTTGGTCTTGCTTGTTTTGGGGTTTGTTTGGTTTTTGTTTTTTTTTTTTCCCCTTGCCTTCTCTTCCGTGTAATGGTAAATATAAATAACTGACAGGATTCGCGTGAACACTTGGTTTATGTGATCAATGTCATTTTTCCTTTAAGAGCAGTTTTGCACAAGTTGAATGTTGTAGACAGCAATCTCAAGCTTACATTATTTAAAACACAAAGATATTGCATGTAAAACCATACAAATACCATTCATGTCATTTTTAACAGTATATATTTATATCCAGTGTACATATTACAAGTATTATACCTTTGTATATAAGAGGTTAATTTTGCTTTACATGTCTCCAAGCATAAATTTGTGCTCAAAGCATACATTCACACTGACAGATTAAGAGAATTATGTTCTACAGTAGCCAAATTGGCTAGCTTTTTTTAAAAAAAAATAGCTAGCAGTGTCTAAAATTAAGGCTTTTTGGGTCGAATCCATGTTGCATTAAAAGATTTGTTAAATGTGCTCCTCTTGTCAGACATTGACATGCAACAAATCATAAGCTATTCTTCTCTGCTGTCTCCTCAATTCTTTTATTAGCTTCCTCAGGACTTTGACCTTTCCTTGAGTGAATTAATCCCTGTTTTACAGCCAGTGCACTACGAAGAGAAGAACTGGTGTGAAGAGCAGTATTCTGGGGGCTGCTACACAGCCTACTTCCCACCAGGCATAATGACTCAGTATGGAAGGTATAGTGTCTATTTATAGTAGGCTTTATAGTAGTAAGATAACACCAAGTTAATAAATATCCTCAGAAAGGGTCATAAATCCTCTGTCATTGTTCACTTTATACCTTTAAGTTCACTAGGGAATATTTTAAATAGATATTATAGTCACTTGTGTCAGTTGGGCTTTATGATGGATGAGTACAGTATTATTAGGGGTTTTATTCACTCCTGTTATCCAGTGAATACAGATGAGTAGGAAGAGAGCTACAAAGCTTTCACAATCTGTTTACAAAACTAGTTTTGGATATTTGAGATTAGTATTACTATTTTTGGCATACCTTTAGTTGTATTTTATAAATACTGCCTGTTAATTCTTGCCAGCATTCACAGTAATGAGTGATTTCTTTATACTGTTCCTTCCCTGTTAGTAGTCAAGGCTTAATACCGTAATCTGTGTGCCATTGTATACAGTCCTCTCTGACATAAGTTTTTACCTGAAAATAAGATTTACAAAAAGAAAAATAAAAAGGCTTACTGGTCAGACTTGTTATGGAGTTCAGATACATAGCTTTGAATGTGATGACATACCCCTGCTTTTGGGGTATAAGTTTGCACAATTTAAAAAGAACTGAAAGTAATAAAGCAGTTGTAATGAAGAACATATGGAGGCATTAGTATTTAAAATAAGTTCAAATTCTAGCAAAAATAGAGAAAAAATCCCCCAAACAATAGCAAACACCTTATTTAATTACTTACTTATTTAAATATTATTTCCTTATTGCATTTAGGTATTGTGGGGATGTATTTCAGAGTGCTACAGTGTGCCACTAATGCCTAGCATTAGTATTTATGATGCTGGCTAAAATTAAGAGATAGAATAAGTATCAAACTAGCTGTCCTTTGCACATATGAGCAGTGTAAATGTTTAGAAAATACAAACACTGGTGTGTTTATTGTAAGAAAGGAAATGCAACACAGACTCCTTCTCCAGTTCAACTCACCCAAAGTTACTCTAAGTGCTTGCTGTTACTTAAAACACTTTTATTCTAATATTAACCCACAGATTTCAGTTATCTTTCCTGATAATGGCTGATATGGCTTACTGCTTGTCCCCCTCCAGGATTATTCGGCAGCCAGTTGGTAGGATCTATTTTGCTGGCACAGAGACCGCCACAGAGTGGAGTGGATACATGGAGGGGGCTGTGCAGGCTGGAGAAAGAGCAGCCAGAGAGGTACAAATGCAAGCATAAACCAGGGGGACTGTCAAATATCCAATGGAAAATGAAAGATCTTCTGGTTGGAGGTGAAATGGTAGATGAACATTGACAGACTCAGGTGTTCTGAAATTTTGATGCAAATCCTTGTGAAGGGGACAGACTTCAAAAAGGCTGAAGGTTTTCCTGAGTGCAAATCAGTGATTTGAAATGCTTAAGAAGGGCTTTGGTTGTTTCATCAGACTCTTTTCTGCTTCCAGGGATTAAATCTTTCTTTAATAGAACAGCCCCAAATTCTCACTGAGTCTTTTTTTTTTCTTGTTTTTTTTTTTTCCCCCAAATGGGCACATTGTTAGTCACTCTATTGAGATATCATGGCTCTTAGATGCTTTAGGAACAGCTCAGTTCTGCAGATCTGCACACCATGATAGTCCCTTCTTCAATTGTTTCCAACAATACCATGGACAGTGACATGCCATTGAGCCCACCTTGCATAAAGTCATCAAACAAGGACTTAAATATTTTGCTTCTGAGAAAACATCAATTCCTCAAGTATTCTCAGGAATATTCCAGTTTATGGTTCAGCAAAAGAAATTTCATCTTTGTTTGATGAAGTGAAGGGAATCTTGTGGCTAAAAAGCTACAATAGTGGAACAGAAATTAGCCTGAAAGGGAACTGGAAAGTATGTCTAGCCCATACCCCTGCCCCAAAAGACAGGGATCAATTGTCCCGTGAGTGAAGGTACCTAACCTGTCTCTGAAGCCTTCAGAGGTAGTGCTTCTTGACCTCTCTAGTGTGCAGACATTACAGCAGAACCTCCATAGGCCTCAGAAGAGAAGTTGGCAAGTGAACTCGGTTGCTAAAAATATTTTCCTTTCCTCAGTTACTTGTGAAAGGAAAATATGTTTAAAATCTGGTGCAAGGGTGTTTCTCACTCTCCTGTATTGAAAAGTTGATGGGGTCCATGAATCTTGTCTAGAATAAAAACATATCATGAAAGATGGCAAATTGTAAATCTACAAGTGCCTGGAGTAGGAAAAACAGTATTTCATAAACCTCCATTTCATTTTACTGCAGAAGAAGTTAATTTTGCTGTCTTCTATAACTATAATTCAGATAATCCTTGCTATGCTACTGCTCTCTGGTATCTTTAATACTTTGATTGTTCAATTTTCCATTGTGAAGGTTCTCTTTTTAGTCTTGCTCTTCTCTGAATGAAAGTGGTAGTCTGTTGTCACTCACAGGCTTCTGTTCCTCTTCATACATCATGGTGAAATTTGTAAAACAAGCTAATCCTGTTTATATAGCTTGCCCATGCTGTAGCTGGTTTATGCATGGTCAGGTTGGATGGGGCTTTGTGCAACCTTGTCTAATGGAAGGTGTCCCTGCCCATGGCAGGGAGGTTGGAACTGGATGATCTTTAAAGTCCCTTTCAACCCAAGTCATTCTATGATTCTATGTTCTATGCCTCACTTTGCCATGAGTATATACTTAACTGTTATTCACTAGCTCTCCGTGGGACTAGTCAAGTTCCAATATCTTGCATAGACTAAGCATAGTGAGATTTTTCTGTTACTGTTTCTATTTTCCACTAGGAGGAGTGTCTTATTAAGTATCAGGCCTCCCCACAAATGAGTTGTACAAAGGTTGAGTCCTCTTCTAATATTTGAGTACGTAGTGATGTTTGTGCTCAACTGTTCTCTTCATCTTGCCATTTTAAAATACAAATTGAAGCCAGCTCTTTTTCCCTTTCAGAAGATGAATGGTACTTACTAGGGAATGTTATTTATTTGCAGATACTGTTTGCTATGAGGAAAATCCCAGAGAGTGAAATTTGGAAGCCAGAACCTGAATCAATTGTAAGTCTTTCTGTAGATTAAATGGATTATTTTTTCATGCAGTTTTTGCTGATGAGATAAAATTTTGATGGCCATTTTTATTTAATTTCACCAAAACTGCCCTTCCCTAAACAGGAGCATAGTAGAAACTTAGACAGGGCGCCCATTCGACAACTCTGTAACATGAGATTGGAAAGAACTACGCTTTTAACCAGGCTACGAAACCCTTTCATGTGTCTCCTCTTCTTCCCTTTAACTGAGCAGAAAATTTTGATACAGCATACTTCTTGATAACATGAACTGCTTCAATCCAGTTCTGCTTCTGCCACAAGAATCTCTATTTACACCTTGCCTCTCACAGTGGACATACTGTTATGCTGATAATGGATGCTCTTCCCACAGGATGTTCCAGCTTTGCCCATCACTACGACCTTCTGGGAGAGGAACTTGCCATCTGTGCCAGGACTGCTAAAGCTGATTGGATTTTCCACTTTCTTCGCCTTTGTGACTGCAGCTGGGTTATTTGCCTGTAAAAAGGGACTTCTAGTTCGAAACTGAAAAAGGTGCCAATGCAAAGCCTCACACTTGAGCAGTTTTGGGGTTTTTTCAGAGTTTGTTTTTTTTTTTTTTGGCATGTACTTTCCTGTTTCCAAAATCAGATCAGGACTGGGGAAAAGAAGGCAGTAGAGGGAAGAGGCTGAAGGGAAGGGATAAAGGAAAGGGATAAAGGAAAGGTATTGAAAAAGAACCCCTTGAATTCAGGACTACTTCTAGCAGCTCCTTTTTGGTTGTTGAATTTGTAGGATACCGTGTCAAGTGTTATCACCTTGAGGTTTTTATCCACATCTCAGAACAGAAGTGACAAAAATCTTCTCTAAAGCCTGTTCTGGTGAGAATTCCAGTTGTTTTTACACTTATACCTGAATCAGACCCTGAACACCAAGTCTTCACAGGCCCTTCCATTTCTAACTGTAAACAAAGGATTTCTGCCTTCCTATGTGGTAGACTGAGAAAAGAAATCCAGAGCTTAAAGAATAATTAACCGGTTAATGCAAATTGCATGGATCTTTTGTAGGGATCTTTTTAATGTTTTTATTTTTCACCCCAATGTCCAGAGCCCAGGCAGCACCTAACAGACAAGTGAGGCTAAATTTATCCATCCAAACCGTTTAAGTGTGGCCATAGGTTGTTGGCATACCCGGTGGCATGTTTGTCCTACAGGGACTTCAACAATGTTTTTACTGCCTTTGGCAACGTGGTTGAATTTTAGGCTCCACAGCTTTGTTCATAGTGCCTGGAACATTAGAGTTCGTCCACCCTGTGCAGGATTGAATCTCTTCTGCCTAACAAATTGGCAGGCTTCAGACAACAGCTGATATGTTCATCAGTATGGCAGACCTGAGAGTGACAAAGAGAGCAGTATGTTGGACCTGAGAGTGCCAATGTACAGCTACAACCTTTAAAATCTTTTCTGCCCTGTCTGACATTTCTTTGCTACCAGGGTCCTCTTTTTAGCTCCCTAAGTTGCTGCAAGATAACAAGAGAACAAATTAACCTCTGCCTACCCCAAGAAGTTGTAAAGATCTCCATTAAAAACCTCTTTTACATATTTTTTTTCTTACAACCTTCCCTTCGTCTACTGAAATTTATGCTTTGAACACCTTGAGGCTGTCTCTTGCCTGGTAGGACACAATGGACTTGAAAATCTAGTGTGAGCATTAAAACAATCCAACAAAAACCTCAACTTCGCTGCTACCCAACACTTGCTTCATGCTGAACGCTGCTTAGCTGGTGCAGAGCTTCAGTCTCTCCTAACAACCATATTGATGGGATTAGCACTTCCACTTCTGCCTGCTGTGCTGTGTTATACTGACTCTGCACTTCTGGCAACTAATGAAAGATATAAATGATAGAGAGATCAAAGAACCGTGGAAAGGATAGTCACATGCAAATGCACAAGTACAGCTGACAACAGGATTGGGTGCACATGAAGTCTGAGATGTCTGGAATTTTTCTGAGCCTGTTTGCTGCACTTCTACCTTCAATCAGTGCTGATTTATATGTAAAATATTACATTGTAGTAGAAAGCCATGGAGGGAATTACAATAATATATTTAGCAATTAATGTGAGCAGAAGGTAGAGGAGCTGTATCACCAGTCTCAGGCAGACTTTTTGGGCTACCGTCGGGTCTTGCTTGTGCAGAGTAGTACTTCATTCTCCAAATAGTCCCATGGAAATCCACTGAACCACTTATAAAGCTGTAATATTTGTTAGCAGCACATCAGTTTCTGGCCCCCATGTTTCATTCTTTTTAACTTGATGTGCCATTTAAAAATCTTCTTGTAGCAGCAGCTTGGATTTTATCACAAATGAGTATCCTCATAACAGCCTTTTAAAATGCATAGGGGAACTTTTCAGACATAAAGATCTTTAAGTCAGAAGAACAGTGCAGCAGTATACATATGGCCTTTCTCATTGTATCACATAGAGCAGTAATTGGCTGGGACATTTGCCTACCACAAAGTGCTTCTGTATGGCTTTCTCTCTGTGATTTATTTACTAAATGAATTAGGAACTGAAAGCTGAATGGGTAAGTTCAGAGCTTTTGTAACACAGACAATTCTCTGGCCAAAAATAAACATAGGAACCTAAATTTGGGAAGATAGTTTTAAAGTGTTGGCCCAATATTTGTAAGTGCTAGACAGTGAATACATACTTAACATATAAAGAACTGCTGCATTTGCAGATGATTTCCCTGCCAAAACTGTTCAGAATTCAAGTCTAGCTTCTGCCCTAGAAATAGTCTCTAAAGGGGAGCAAATCCATGAATGTAATGAGGCTAAACTGGTTTTATTCATGTCTGATATGTGTCATTCTTTTCTTTGCTCCTGAATCTGGCAGAGGTTTTTCCCAGTCTAACAAGACAATGTTGTGTGTCATAAGGGCAGAAAAACCAAGGAAAAAAAGGAGTCAATTACAGTTAGAACTGAACTGAATCACAACCAAAGCTTTTAATGAGAACTAAAATGTACATAAACCTTTCTTAATCTTAGTTTCAAAGCGAAAGAAAAATAGAGAAAAAAACCCAAAACACAAAAATTTCTTCTGTTATTCTGATGCAACTAAAAGTATGGGCAACTTAAAATCCCAAATTAAATTTTGATTCCCTGAGTTTTTAGCCAAATCTGATGGAGCTGGGAGTTCTGAATTGCAGCATCTGTGTTAGCACTCAAAAGTCTCTGTCCTCCTTCATTCCAGACTGCCAAAGCCTTAGGAATACTCTCTTTGTATTTACAGCTGTGTCTTGCTGTGATGATGCTGTGGAGCTTATCACCACCATGGGATTAAAAAGAAGGATTTGCTACTGTTTTCTTGACATCTTCCACATAAAAGGAATATGTGGCACTTTGTGTATGTGGATGCCAGCGTGATGAGAACATTGACAAATGTGCGTAGAGAATCAAGATGCTTCCCCATGGGTGGAGGGAAGTGTTAGCACTGGCTTACATTTTTTAAATTCCTTTGTGCCAACCCTTCAAAGAGAGGAATGAAGTCTGGTTTAATGGGTAACCAGTCATGATATATTTCTTAACATGTTTGATGAGAAATCTGCTATCATGAAAGTTCCAGCAGTACCACCTTCATAAAATGTATTATAGAGCAACCATGGAAATAATCGTATTGTCTCTTATGAACTGATTTGTGTTATCGTGCGTATTTTGTAAGGCTCTTAAGAGTTCCGATAGCAACTGTATATTGCAAGGAATGTCGGGTAATGGCATGAAAATCTGTGTTAACCAAAGTGCTTGAAAGCTAACTGTATAAACTACAATAACAAGGAGGTGAGAAATCTGAGGCAGCCCCTTGTCTTTCTTTTAACTACTGTGATTTTTTTCTCAATGCTGATTTTTACTCCAAATAGCACATCTATTGTCAGTATAACAGGAGATGTTTGTAAAAGATGTATTAATCACAATTAGGTATATGCCTGAGCATTGCCCATCACTGAAACCTAAGGCCTGGAGTCACTTTTGTGGGACTGTTGTTTCACTGAGGTAAACTTTACAAAAGTGCAGAAATTTTAAGTTTTGGGTTTTGTTTTTTTTGATACATGAAAGAAAAATATTTTTGAGAAAGAAGAAATTGCACATCCTTCAGAAGTACTTGGGTGCAAAAGGAAGCCAGGGTGAAATGACAACAGATCTGCCCCTGCTCTCAGGCAAGAAGCAAAGCCACTTAAATTGCAGATTGCAAATGCTCACAAATAAACGTGACCTGCATTTAAATGAACTAACATTACCTCCCCCATCTTCACGACCTTATGGTCACCTTGATCTTACAATCTGTTGTTCAATAGAGATAAAAATGTGATGGCCGAAGCAGTCTTGCTTTCAAAGTATCTCTGCAGTCAAGTTGTTTAGGCGTTGCCGCTTATAGCGTGTCTCCTGTGGTCATGTACAGGTCAGTGTTCAGTGATGCCTGCCTCTGTGTTTTGGAAAAAAAAGAGTGACTTCACTGTGCAGGAATATATATACTGTGTGTGTGATGAATTTGTGCCTTTTATAACTGTAGCATATTCTCAAGTGCCTCTGTGGTGACTGTCTCCCTTGGTTTCCTTCTTAAGCTCCCTTTTCAATAGACTGCAGATATTTTTATCTGACAGCTGTGAACTTTTTTTAACCTTAATTAGAATCAATAAATATTGTCATGTCACACTTACTGTTTGAGGCTTTTCTTTTGTGCAAGTTCCTTTTGACTTGGTTGTGATGGTTATCACTTAGTAACACAACATTCTGCATTTCATACTGAAGCCAATGAGGTATCTTCAGCTTTTCTCATTTAAGACAGCACTTTCAAGAAGGAGAGAAGGATTAAACAAACCAAATACCCCCCCCCAAATAAAAACAGTAAAAAAACCAAAACCCAACAACCCCCCCAATAATAATTCTTCCTAATGTGTAGACGACCAACTGTCTTACACTTAAAATTGTGTTTTATTGCTGTAGACAGATTTGAAGTGTCCCCAGCATGAACATCCCTCTCACAGCACCTTGTTTACCAGAACATATATGGGCAGGGACACATTTTCTAGCTGCTCATAAGAGTCAAGGGCAGATGGTATTTGGCTGTAGCTGAACATGGGAAGAAACAGATCATGTACCAAATACTGTGTGGTGTAAACATAAAATAAAATGAAAAACTAACCATACAAAAATCACTGGCTTAATTTCATCCAGCAACTCAGTGTCAGTGCTAGACAGATAATGTAACTGAAGAACAAATTCAGCCTTGGGAACAGACCTGTGTTTCACAAAAAAATATAGTCTATGAATACCAGAAAAAGTGTAACCATCCATGTGAAAAACACATCAAAAGCATGTGATGCTCTTTGTATAGGCTTAGCTTTCAGTATTACTTACAAGTTATAAAGAAGCACAAATACCATGAGAGCAAATATCGTCAGCTAATCCTTTGCCTGCTCTATAAAGCATCCGTTTCCTAAGAAATGTATCAGAACCAGCAACACATTTCACAGGCCCTCAAAGCAGCTCACAAATGGTTATGACTCTTAAACATTGCTGCCTTGGGTCAGATTTGAACTACCTCTTTAACCCTTTGTTCAGACATACCCTGTGGCATCCCAGAGGAGGTACTGAAATAGTAGTAGCAGTAGTGGTTATTTATTTATTTATTTGCAAAGCTTTCAGTGTGCAGAGACTAGGTCAGCCATGGAGCACTTCATTATTTCCAGCAGTCCAGTGTACAGAAAATTAATTTGGACAGATTAATACAGGAGAAATGCATTCTGTAGGACATCTATAGAAGATAGTAGTATGATTTCCTGAGAAACTAATTAGAAATGCCACTCATTGTTTAGGAGAGGTTTGGTTGCATTTCCAAATTATTTGGGTAATCCATACAAAACTAACTCTTAGTATGAGAACTGAGGATTATTTATTCCTCTCACCTTGTATAATTATACCAATCTACTGATCTGAAGCAAATGCTGAATATTTGAGAGACTAATTAGTTGTTTTGCTTTCTGGCTTAAGGCAGGATAAATTCCCTATGAACCTCAGAAAAAAATTGACGACTGAAAGGCAAAACTGGCCTCAGATTGTACAGAACCAAGATACAGTTTGGTATCTTTCTCAAAACAAGGGGAAGCTTTCTGATTAATTTAGACCAGTGCATTAAGGTCCAAGTTTTTGCTTCCTCATTTGAGGTACTTTGGTCAGCAGGATTGCTCAGACACAGTTCTTGTCTGACTGGTCCTCCTCTGTTGGGGAGCAGGGAGAGAGGAGCTCCTAGCCTCATGGATCAGCCCATGCAGGACTGAAGGAGTCCTACAGACGCAGCCTTCTCTCTTGATCTCTGTGTGGGAGGATACCTAAAATTGACAGGTTTTCTGACTTCAGCATCTTAGTCATGTGTTTCAGATTCATGGGATTAACTGAACTTTAATCCATGTGTTCCACTTGTTCAGCAAAGACACTGACAGCAAGGTCAGATGTTTTCAAAGAGCATATGATACCTACCTAGAGACCAATTCAAGGGCCAAAACACAGTTGCTTTGTGCCTCTTGGCCATCCGAAGGCCCCCTGTCCAGCCTCCAGCTGCTGCTGTGAAGGGTGGCAACATGTACAGAGATGATATGACCTAAACCAGCCCTGTGAAGGCGGCTCAGATGCTCTTTGGACATTGAATTAGGCAGTTTCTACCTCCCACCAACTGCTGATGGCAATTAGGTACTCCAATATTTCCTCTAGGTATTCAACTATGGAGAAATACAAACACTGATAATGTAGGTCCTGTGAAACTAAAGTAAAGCAAGTTAATAAATTGCATGTTAAAAGTAGCTGCTCTTTGTGCAGGCAGGCTATACAATGATTTTGTTAGCCATTGATTTTGTTGGTCATTGAAAAGAAAAAGATGTGATAGTCTAGTCAAAATCTTAGTAGTGTTTGTTGTTAGTGTTGTTTGTAGCCTTCAACGAACAGCTGAGAGCCAAGTTAAGCTGTAAAACATACAGTAAAAGGGTTTATAAGTTGATTTTAGTTTGCACTATTTGTAAAGTCAGTAGAAAAAAGCTATTTTGGAAGTAGGCTAGAGTAGACTCAAAAATGAATTGTAAATAGCTGTGATTGATAAGCTGTGAAACACATGCTAAGGATCTTGTCCACTGGGTCTTTACCCAGTGCCGTGATGGTTTATCCCAGTTTTCCATTCTTCCTAGCTTTGCTGAAGAGGCAAACAAAGGTGGTTTGAGTTTTTACATCCATTGTAGGTCAAAGACAGTCTCATTCTGTGTTTTGGCAGAATGTGAGAGATATCTTTTCTAATTTAGAAGTAAAATTTTATTAGCTTTCACCCAGGTTGCTATGTGTACAGGGAAATTTCTGTTAGCAATATTTACAATCCCTCCTTATCAGAATTGCCCTAACAAAATAATCAATATCCATCCAGCTCCATTTATCCAAGGCATCTACAGGCTCTGTAGGCTCCCCTCCTCCACCTCACAACTCTGGAGGGGGAGGAAAGCCTCATACAAATTCAAGTGAACTGTTCATCTGATCTATAGCAGAAGTGGTCTGAGCAAATACAGACCAGCCTCACCTGCCCAGGGGTGTAAAGCCATTGAAGGCCAGCAGTAACTTTAGGGGAGGATTCTCATTGAGTGCCATTTCCCCGCAGCAGCAGAGACTTGTTGAAGAAGCACTTGAGGAAGCTGCACCCAACAGAAACACCAGCATTTGGCTGATTGGATTTGTCAAATGACTCCTGAACCACTGTCTAATGGGAATCAGCATTGCACTCTGATGCTTGGAGGGGAAGGAGGGGAGAAAAGGAAGCGTATTCATAATGCACTGAGGCATCCTTGTCAGCTCTCAGGCTGTTCATTCCCAATTTGCATATGCTCCAAGTTGTAAGAAAACACTTTGCACAGCAGTGTTGCATTTAGTAGAAATTACATTAGAATTTCAGATGTGGAAACTTCTATTTCAGGTCTGAGGCTGTGAGATGTCCCATCAGGCTCTGCAGTCATTATCTTCAACAATTGAAATGCATGCTCACACTTAGTCAAAATCAAGGGAAGTTACTCCAGCCTCCACTTGCCAATTCAGCTCAAAGTAGAACAAGAGGATAAATTAGAAACTTTGTTATTTCCCAGTAATTTCTCTATGAACTGGAGTTTGTCCAAAGTGCTTTTTCAGAGGTTGTGTAGTTGAGCCAATGCCTCTATCTAGCTTTGTAAAGCAAACTGCCCCCAAAGAAACCCCCTTCCCAGAGAAGGGGAGTTTTCAGGTGCACTTAGGATCTGCGCTTGCACTTTTGTTCCAGCTCCTACATGGTCCCAAGCAGCAGAAAAGCCTTCAGCTGCCCTTCAGAGGAAGTCTTGCAGTACAGAGGGGTACTGCAGCAGCCAGTTCATTGTCCTGATTTCTTCCAGGAACTGGCTGGTGTCGTGAATCAGGGGTGGTAGGGGAGGACCCTGCCTTTCCCTGCTTCCTCCAGTGTGACATATTGGAGTTTAGAGATGGGTGAAAACTGGGGATTGAAGCTGGGAAATTGCATCTCTTTCCTTTAGTGTGTTTCTAGTCCAGAGTTTGATATTTTGGGTACCCAAAGGGGATGGTAAGCACCAAGTGCAACAATACCCACTGAGACCTTTCTGCAAATCACTGTTAAGCTTCTGTCACATTTTTGTTTGCTGGACGACAAGGTACTGCTATTACATAACCAGAAGATGGCAGCCTTTATTTCAGCCTGTTCCCTCTCTGCAGCAGATCTACACTAGCCATACTTCAGCACAGCTGTCTGCAGCTGGCATCTACTAACTGTAGCCTCCCCTTAATGCTAGGCTCTGACTTTCATAATTCAGCAGGACACCCTGGATTTAACCAAGGTTTTGATGAAAATAATGGTGCTCAGGCTATAATCCAAAGAGTTTTAAAGTGAATGGTCTGGCCACGTATTGTGATTTAACCCCAGCTGGCAACTAAGTACCACACAGCCACTTGCTTACTCCCCCCGGTGGGATGGGGAGGATAATACTAATATTAATACTAATTTTAATACTAATAGGAAAAAGAGAGGGAGGGATAAAACCAAAGAAAGACAAGTGATGCACAATGCAACTGCTCACCACCCACTGAACAATATCCAGCTCAACCAAGCACTGACTAGTCCCTTCCAGGTAACTCCCCCAGTTTATATACTGGGCATGACATGCTGTGGCATGGAATACCCCTTTCACTAGTTTGGGTCAGGTGTCCTGTCTCTGTTTCCTCATAGCTTCTTATGCCCCTCCTCACTGGCAGAGCATGAGACTGAAAAGTCTTTGACCAGGGTAAGCATTACTTAGCAACTAAAACACGGGTCTGTTATTAGCATTGTTCTCAGGCTAAAGACAAAACACAGCACTGCACTAGCTACTAGGAAGAAAATTAACTCTTTTCCAGCTGAAACCAGAACACCAATGTCCAATGGAAGTCCAATGCCAAAATGAGCAGTAATTATGTCCTTTGCTTCATTTTCAACCCCATGTCAAGTGGAAGCTGTCTTCTTGTACCATGAGTAGCAGTAGAGCTCACAGTTACATTTCATAGAGTAACAGCAGAAAGGTAGAGGTAGCAAAGGACATCTGTCTTGTCTTGTGCTTAGTAAGGTCATAGGCAGTCCAAACTCATACCTCTGTCTGACTCATTCATGG